AAAAAAAAAAAAAAAAAAAAAAAAAAAAAAAAAAAAAAAAACACGCAAAAATCAATCTCTCTCAAAAGGAAAAAACAAGATCTCACCAATCTAATCCAGAAGTTATCATAGCAGAATTCCACAAAACCCCAGATGGAGTAACACAAGAAGAACAAGAGAAATTGAAAACAAGTAAGCGAAATCAACCAGTGGTCAAACAAGATGCAAAAGGAGCATACCAATAGGAACGATTCGATCCTGGTCCTCATCGGGGCGTTCCATAAAGACAGAGATCCTGAAACAAGGCGATTGGGAAGGGAAAATTGAAGTGAAGGAGAAAATCAAACTGGAAAATTTGAGAGGGATTTTGGGATTTGAATGGAAGAGAATAAAAAGGGTTTAGGTTTTTACGAGGCAATGATTTTTGGGGAAATCAAAAAATTAAAAAGAAAAAAAAACAGAAAAAACTGAGAATTTAATTGAAGAATTGAAGCCAAATTTTGGGCGTCCATGGCGGTTTGTGCTTTAAAAACCATTGCTGACTGAGGCCCAAAAGTAATCCCCATGCCCAAACACCGTACTCTTATAATTTTATATTTTATTTTATTTTATTTTATTTTTATATTCATATTCTCCTCTATATTTTAAATTACATAAATATCTAATTACCATAATAACTCACCTTTTAAAAATACATATATATTCTTTAAAATAATAATAAAATATATAATTCAATTCTCATTAAATAAAAATAATTATATCCATCCCCCAAATTAACGGAATATTTTCGTACTTATTTTAAATTTTTTCAAGATATATATTTATATATTATTGAGAGTAAGACAGACGCAGTTAGTTTGAGTTTATAAGTTAGAAATACGATGTGGTATCAGACCTTAACAGAGCTTAGGCTCAAAGCGAACAATATCATATCATTGTGAAGATTCGTGATTCTTAATATGGTTATTAGAGCCTTGCCTTTGTCCGAGGGTTCTAGAGGAAGGAGTCGAGCTAATGGTAATTGACGTATTGTGCTCGAGAGGGTGTATTTTTAATTCTTCTTTTATTCCAATAAATCTAGTTATTAATATTAAAAAAAAATATACATAGTTAAATCATATATAATATTCATTCTGTATTATAGCTTATTCACATTTTTTTTTAATTAATTGATGTCATATTAGTAAAATTATATATATTAAATTAACGCTACAGAAAAAGTTGAACCCATAAAAAAATATTCGGCTATCAATCAATATACAATGCAACAAAAATAAATAAATGCATACAAACAAGTTTCCCTATGAGTAAAAATTATTGACAACATTAATTGAAAGCATACAAGATAAAGTACTATCGAGCACATGAGTATGTGTGATGTCGTTATTATCCCATGTCGGGTACCTATTGACACCCTCTATATATATATAGAACTATATGTAGCTTGAAATAAAAGGATCTGAACATCTCGAGTTGTTTAAAACGTTAATTTAAGAATAAAAACCCTAAAATTCTAATATCCATGAAGTCGATTGGTTGAATTCCTTAGATTTGAGTTTATCGAGTGGGTGTAAAATTAGGTTCGGTGGTTTTTTAAGCCTATAATATGGAAGCAATTATTTGCTTCTTTCTTTTGCCTCTATATTTTTTAATTAATTCCTATTTTCTCGTTCAACATTAGTTGATAGGGTACGACTCGTGAATGGTCGAGTAGTTGCAAATTATGGTCGTGGGACACAGCTGAGCTGAGCTGATCAGATTGAAGTGGTTATATGTAATAGTCCAAATCCATCTTCTGTAGATATGGTTGTTTTTGGGCTTCCCCTCAAGGTTTAAAATTCTGAGGATTTCCACTCCCTTGTGAGAAATGTTTACCTCCCATCTCCAACCAATATTTCGTTCTCATTGGTACACGACTCGATGAATGACTTTAATACCATTCATAACAGTCCAAGCCTGCTAGTAGATATTGTTCTATTTGGACTTTCCCTTATGAGTAATGTGTCTTGTAGGGAGGGTTTCCACTTCTTTATAATAAATGTTTCGTTTTCTTCTTGCAGATAGATGTGATATGCCTAAAATATTATTTATAAAGAGATCGTAATATATTTATATATTTTAGCACCTCACTTCGAAAAATAGTGTTGTGAGTTTCACTTTTAAGAAATTTGCATGAAACGTAACTAAATATTTTGATGAAAGTCTGAGAGTTCGGATTCGATTCCAAACGTGTTTTTGTAAGACATCTGAGCCGATTTTAGGTGTTGATTGAATTGACTATAAATATTATTCACAACCATACCAATCAAATGACAATATAACGTCCGAGTAAATTAGGTGTTCATGAATGAATTGGACCACATCCAAATGAGAACGATCCTAAGAATATGATGACTAAGCTCAGTGATTAAACATGCTTTACTTGGAGCATTTCTATGTTGGTTAACCTCCTACAAATTTTCTTAAGATGCATGTGAGTGAGGACAAACTATGTTGAAAGAACTCATGTTGGTCTGTAGGGATAGTTCTCACTTTTAGAAGCGAGGAGTAAGTAACGTGATCATGTCAGGGTCATTAAATGTCGAATTCGCCTTTTAAAGGGCTCAATCATAGAAACTCAATGATTAAGCATGCTTTACTAGGAGCAGTTCTTTATTGGTCGACCTCTTATGAATTTTCCTAATATGCATGTGAGTGAGGACAAACCATGTTGGAAAAGCTTGTGTTGGTCTGTAATGATTAAGCATGCTTTATTAGGAGCAATTCTATGTTGGTTGACCTCTTATGAATTTTCTTAATATGCATGTGAGTGAGTACAAACCATGTTGGAAAAGCTCGTGTTGGTCTGTAATGATTAAGCATGCTTTACTAGGAGCAGTTCTATGTTCGTTGACCTCTTATGAATTTTCCTAATATGCATGTGAGTGAGGACAAACCATGTTGGAAAAGCTTGTGTTGGTCTGTAATGATTAAACATGCTTTATTAGGAGCAGTTCTATGTTGGTTGACCTCTTATGAATTTTCTTAATATGCATGTGAGTGAGTACAAACCATGTTGGAAAAGCTCGTGTTGGTCTGTAATGATTAAGCATGCTTTACTAGGAGCAGTTCTATGTTCGTTGACCTCTTATGAATTTTCCTAATATGCATGTGAGTGAGGACAAACCATGTTGGAAAAGCTTTAGTTGGTCGATAATGATTAAGCATATTTTACTAGGAGCAGTTCTATGTTGGTTGACCTCCTATGAATTTTCCTAATATGCATGTGAGTGAGGACAAACCATGTTGGAAAAGCTCGTGTTGGTCGGTAATGATTAAGCATACTTTACTAGGAGCAGTTCTATGTTGGTTGACCTCCTATGAATTTTCCTAATATGCATGTGAGTGAGGACAAACCATGTTGGAAAAGCTCGTGTTGGTCGGTAATGATTAAGCATACTTTACTAGGAGCAGTTCTATGTTGGTTGACCTCCTATGAATTTTCCTAATATGCATGTGAGTGAGGACAAACCAAGTTGGAAAAGCTCGTGTTGGTCTGTAGGAATAGTTCTCACTCTTGAAAACGAGGAGTAAGTAACGTGATCATGTCATGGTCATTAAATACCGAATCAACTCCGAATCTTATTCAAAATTCAAGACATGGGTCGTGACAAACAAGTTCATAGATAAAAGTTTATAACTCAACCAAAATCGAGATTCATTTACACATATAGACAAAATGAATTAAGGGAATTTTTCACTCAACAAATACACATGCTTTGTTGATTCTCTTCTCTCTTCTTGGCATCCACGTATGGAAAGACTTCAACTTTTTTAGCCTTTTTCAAAATTCCCCTCAAACAAATTACTCAGCATCTTTTGGAGTACTTATTCGACAATTTGAGGCATGACTCTAATACCATGTTAGATGAACACAACTCTCCATAATAATATGATATTGTCCACACTGACCATAAGCTCTTATGGCTTTGCTTTGGATTTCCCCAAAAAGTCTCATAACAATAAAAATAATATAACTTAATTATAAACTTATAATCATTTTCTAAATTAATCGATGTGGGACTTTCATCCAACATTATTATACTCAAAAGTATAATCAATTTTTAATTTAATATTAGGTAAAGGTTTAATAGATTATTGGAGGAGAACAAGACAAAATAATAAATGAAAATTACTTGATTTAATAAAATATACTTTAATTATTAGCCTATTATTGTTCTTCTAAATTAATCATTCCCATCATATTAAAATCTACATGCTTCCATCAACCAACTCATTCAATTCATTAATTTTGAATTTTAAAGAAATATGATCTATATTTTAATTTTAAAAAATATTGACCCTATCAATTAAAATATAAAATTTTAATTTTATTATACTATCGTAATTTTTGCATTTTAGTCCTTGAACTTTCATATATTTTTATTTCAGTCCTTGAATTTGATATTAAAATATGTGTTTGGAGGAGGTATACCTTAGATAATTTTTTAAGAAATAAATTGATTATTTATACATCATTTTAAAACTAGAATATAATATTTGAAGATTTATAATAATTAAAAAAAAAAACTTAAATTCATAGTATTTTAAAAATTCCACCCAATGAAATTTATAAAAATGCTATTTTTGTCAAATTTAAATTTAGATTTACAATTTAACTCAGGTAAGTTTTTTAATTACAAAATCTCACCACATCTATGTACATCAACACGTTTATACTAACGTATATTAAGTCAATATTAGTCGGATAATAATAAGTATTATGAGAATAAAAATTCACAGAAAAACAACGAAGTCAAAGTCAAAGATGTTGAAGATTATTGGAAGTGAGTTCCACTGATTAACTATTTAGTGGTATGAGGTCTTTTGGGAAGTCCAAAACAAAGAATTCTCAAATATCGAACAAAGAATTGTGAGCTTCGAAGGAGTGTAGTCAAAAGTGACTAAAATGTCGAACAAACGGTGTACTTTGTTCGAGAGCTCTAGAGAAAGAAGTCGAGCCTCGATTAAGGGAAAGCTATTCAAGAGCTCCATAAGACTTAGAGGAGGCTTAGAGTATACTTCATTCGAGGGGAGGATTGTTGAGGATCATGGAGATCCGTGATTCCTAACCAAAGACGGGTAAACATTATGAAAGCTAAAAAAGTAAAACCGTCTCAAAATTAAAACGAGCACTTTAAAAAGAAAAATATTTACTTATTAACTGGTAGGATAGAAAAAAACAAATAATTTAACTTTTTCCAATGAATATTCGGTCCAAAAAAAAAAAAAAACTTACCTAAAAAAACATTAATTACGAAATTTTAACCGATGGGATTAAAGTAAAAAAAAAAAAAGTAAAAATAGAAAAATAAAAATTATAAATGGATTTCCATTTCTGAATATTGTTCCAAGTGGTCCTGTCCGAAAAAGCAGCTGCCCACTGCCACTAATGCAATGCCAGCAATGGCTGACCCAACAAAGATGCTTCACTATCCGACATCCCCAGCTGATTCATAATCCTCGCTTCTTCAATTTCAATCACTGTTGTTTTTTATCAATGCCTCTCATTTATTTTTCACTTTCCCCTCTCTCTTGCACCGCCATAACAACAACCCTTCTCTTTACTGGGTCGATACAGATTCCAATAAGCTCGATTTTCGCTTCCGTTTCACTTATTTTGAGATGGGTTTTATGTTTTTGGGTAATTTTGATATTCTTTTCCCCCTTTAATGGCGGATTCTTCCTGTTTTTCTAGCTGAAATTACTGTGTTATGTTGTTTTTGAACTTCCCCTGAGCTGAAAAGGGTATTTAACCATCTCCCCCTTTGTGATTCCTAGTGGATTTCACTTTTACCTCTAAAGATTCTTTTCCACTTTCTTGTTCTTTCTTTTGGGTCATCTGGAAATGATGAACAGCAAAATGGGTTGCTGTTTCTTGCACGGCTCCGTTGGTTTGCTTTCGTTGATATCTATGGTTTGTTCTGTGGTAGCCATAGGTGCCAACTGGGGTACTCAGTCGTCTCATCCACTGCCTCCAGAGACAGTCGTTGGGATGCTAAGGGATAATCAGATTCAGAAAGTGAAGCTATTTGATGCTGATTATGGAACTCTTAGAGCTTTGGGGAAAACTGGGATTGAAGTAATGGTTGGGATTCCTAATGATATGCTATCCACTTTAGCAAACAGTGAAAAAGCAGCTGAGAAATGGGTTTCTAAGAATGTCTCTGTTCATATTTCCGACAACAATGTGAACATCAGGTGAGTTTTCCTTATTTTCCTCGCTTTCTTTCTTGCTTTCATGGCTTGTTTTGATCTGTAGAGTTGCTTTCTTGTGTGTTGATTAGGAAAGTTTAGGCCTTATCTTTAATGATTGAGATGATTTTCACTGTGATTTGGTGCTTTCTTTGCTATGTTCTTCAGTTTTGTAAAGAGAAATTCATGTTTTTGAAGGGTTTAGTGTAGGATTTTGAGGGGAATTGTTTACTTTAATCACTTACATACTATCATAAGGTAGTTTGCATGTGTCACTTTTTGAGGTAATGATGGGGCAGACAAAGGGTAGAATGAAGTGGACAATGGGAATAAATAAAGTGGCACCTATTAACATCTCTTCTTTTTGAAGTGACCTATCCAATATTTTTTTTATAGGTTAATGGTGTATAGAATCCAATATTTTTCGTCCGGGATTCCCCTCAAGGTTTTTAAAACGCGTATACTAAGGAGAGGTTTCTACACTCTTATAAAGAATGTTTCGTTCTCCCCTCCAACCGATATGGGATCTTACTATCCACCCCCTTTAGGGTTAGGGTCCTTCAAGGTTTTTAAAATGCGTCTCTTAGGGAGAGTTCTCTACACCTTTATAAGGAATGTTTCATTCTCCTCCCCAACCGAGATGTCACAATCCACCTCCCCTTTGGGGCCAAGGTCCTTCAAGGATTTTAAAATGCGTCTCTTAGGGAGAGTTCTCCACACCCTTATAAGGAATGTTTTGTTCTCCTCCCCAACTGATATGGGATCTCACAATCCACCCCCTTTGAGACCAAGGTCCTTCAAGGATTTTAAAATGCGTCTCTTAGGGAGAGTTCTCCACACCCTTATAAGGAATGTTTTGTTCTTCTCCGCAACCGATGTGGGATCTCATAGTTCACCCCCCTTTGGGGCTTAGCGTTCTCGCTGGCGTTTGTTCCCTTCTCCAATCGATGGGACTCCCCAATCCACCCCCTCTTCGGGGTCCAGCGTCCTTGCTGGCACACTGCCTCATGTCCACTCCCTTCGGAGCTCAGTCTCTTCGCTGACACATCGCTTGGTGTTTGGCTCTGATACCATTTGTAACCGTCCAAGCTCACCGCTAGTAGATATTGTCCACTTTGGGCATTTCCTTTCGGACTTCTCCTTAAGGTTTTTAAAATGCGTCTGCTAGGGACAGGTTTCCACACCCCTTATAAAGAATGATTCGTTCTCCTCCTCATCGATGTCGTTCCCCTCTCCAATCGATGTGGGATCTCAAGTTTGAAGAACTGCCCTCGAAGTCCTTAGTTATTCTACTGCATTTACCATCTTTATCTGTCAAAGTTTCCTCGAATTGGGTTCTTGAATGATCTGCTAGGTAAGGACCTTACCACTGTTTCTCCAGAGAAAGCACATAGAACTCTACAATTCTGCTGTTCAGCTTGGGGCAAAGAAAGTGACAATCTTGTTCTTCTTCCTAACGTTTGGAGTCAGTTTACACTACAACAGGGCCATGATCAGCTCTGCACTTGCACAATTTAAAGCTTTATTCATGTGATGGGATTCTATACACTTCTGGATTAGATTAAGTGGAAAGGGTTATTATCTCCCATTGAATTCCATGTTTCTCTCGAGTTTCGGTGGCCTTTTTTGTGCTTAAATGGGAAACCTCAAAGATGACAATATCTGTTAGTGGTGGGCTTCGGCCGTTACACCTTCGGTCTTATTTTGTTTGATTGAAGGCCCCGATCGAGTAGTGTGCTTCCTCCTTTTGTGGGTTCTCTTTTGGTATGCCCTTTTCTTTTATTTTTTTTTAAAACTAGGGTTGGAGGGACCTGGTTTACCGTTGTAGCTTGAGACTACTCTTGTAACAGCCCAAGTCCACTGTTAGAGCATATATTGTCCCCTTTGGACTTCCTTTCAAGGTTTTTAAAACGCGTCAAAGATATTGGCCTCTTTGGGCTTCCCCTCAAGGTTTTTAAAACGCGTCTTTGAAGAAGAGGTTTCCACACCCTTATAAAAAATGTTTCGTTCTCCTCCCAACCGATGTGGGATTTCACAATCCACCCCCTTGAGAGCCCAACAACCGGTGCCTGACTCTGATACCATTTGTAACAATAGGCTTAGGTCGTTACAACTCTCTCATTTCCACCATCCGGAACACATTCTATCAGTGATTGTTCGTAAATTTTTTAACCAAAGGCAGAAATCTTCCAATTCTTAAGCTGACTAAGTGGGAAAGTACCTGTTTAAATTGTAATGCATCCCTTGATTTCTTTTCAAGTCACCATGTTAATTATGAACTTTCAGGTATGTTGCTGTAGGGAATGAGCCTTTCTTGTCCACTTACAATGGAAGCTTTCTTAGTACAACCTTCCCTGCTCTGCAGAACATCCAGAGAGCCTTACTAAAAGCTAATCTAGGAAACCAAGTAAAGGTAACCGTTCCGCTAAACGCCGATGTCTACGAAAGCTCAACTACGTTTCCATCGGGCGGCAACTTCCGAGCTGATATACACGATTTGATGCTCGCCATTGTCAAGTTTTTGAGCGATACCGGTTCTCCATTCACCGTGAACATTTACCCCTTCATCAGTCTTTATTCCACCCCCAACTTCCCTGTTGAATATGCTTTCTTTGATGGCAATGCATCACCCTTAGTCGATGGCCAGACATCGTATTTCAACATGTTCGATGCAAATTACGACACCCTTGTGTGGGCGCTTCAAAAGAATGGCTTTGGAAACTTACCGATCATAGTTGGGGAGATCGGTTGGCCAACAGACGGGGATCGGAATGCCAACCCCATCTACGCTCAACGGTTCAATCAAGGCTTCATGTCACACATATTAGGCGGGAAAGGAACACCAATGAGGCCAGGTCCAATTGATGCCTACTTATTCAGTCTTATTGATGAAGACTCAAAGAGCATTGATCCGGGAAACTTCGAACGTCATTGGGGCGTATTCTACTACGACGGTCAACCAAAATATCAGCTCAGCCTTGGAAATTCGAACAATGGACCATTGGTCGGAGCCAAAGGCGTGCGGTATTTGGAACGAAAATGGTGTGTGATGAAGCCATCTGCTCACCTTGAAGATTCACAGGTTGCGCCGAGTGTTAGCTATGCGTGTTACCATGCTGATTGCACCAGCCTTGGTTATGGGACGTCTTGTTCGGGGTTAGACGCTCGGTCGAATATCTCGTATGCGTTTAACAGTTATTACCAGAGGAGCAATCAGGCAGAGGATGCCTGCAAGTTTTCAGGGTTGTCAACAGTGACCAATAGTGATCCAAGCTTTGGGAGTTGTAGGTTTGACATAATGATAGAGGATATGGGAGGGGCAGAAGGAAGGTCAGGGTGCTGTTTCAAAAGGCTTTTGGCGTTGGTTTCTGGGTATGTTCTTATTTTATTGACAATTCTGTGAATGTTTAAGGTAATTTATTTGTATGTCTTTGTCTCCTTTTTCTGTTTAAGGTGTAGAATTGAATCAGTAATTATATTAATTTAGATTTTAAATTTTAAATTTTTATAAACATATCTTCAATTATGGAGGATTCAAATTGTGCAGTGACACGAATGAACTTACCATGGGGAAGATGTTAGAACTAATAAAATGCAACAAGTTCTCGAATGGTATTTTAATCCGTCTAATAAAATTAACGATCAAAAGGAAAAATAATCCATTCCTGTTCTCAAACTATTGTGACATTTCGAACATCCCTCTATAGTTCAATAGAGGCATTGGGTCTCCTGTGCCCATGTCATATCATTTACGGACACCGTATCTAATAGCGGGTGCATAATCCAACCTCCAACATATGGGCTGAGGCGCAATACTGACACATCCATGTCGTCCGGTACTGTCTTTGAAAAATTCATTTCAAAGGAAATCACCTGAGACACTTGTCTCGCAACACTTGCCTTCACTGTGACTCACACATGTGTCACATGGTAATTCGCTTAGGCCACATAGTCCAAGAGTGGTAGAGAGTTGACACCATGTCTCCACCTCTCGTACATTTGGAGGCATTTCTAAATTGGCGGGTATAGACATGATTTTGGTGATAAAAACTACAATGTCGCGGAGCGTACGTCCGATGTCCAATTGACACCAAATTTGGTGAGCTTTCATATTTCATATGGATGAACCCAACTCTAAAACTGCATGTCCAAATTCCCTTTGGAACCTCAACTTTCGAGGTCAAAGCCCGAGACCCTACCCAACTTTTCAACAAACCTATTTGTGACACTCATGTCTACTCATTGTCCCTATCTTGCTTATGCCTCATTTCCTCTTCAATGCACACATTATATAGTGTGTTGGATGATGCATCATCCTCTTCAGTCGTATCATGACATTTTTCTATATTGGCCCTCGCATGGCTAGATGATCACCTTTTTATTTGACTCAACCTGAGACTCTCTTTATAATGTAGTTGTGACATCTTGCGTACATCTCTAATTATTAGCTAGTACCAAACACGATATATTTACATACCAAAAATGGAAAAATATTTGGTGGTGAAATGTTGGTTGATTAATATCAACATTGACTCCTACCCCTAAACATATGTTTCACAATAACAAACTTCCTTCTTCTCATTCCTTACCACATTTTCTTTGAAAGACATTCTTTTCCATTGACCGAACTGTTGCCGTTCTTCCAGTTTATTTATTCCATCCATCAGACAAGAATTCTATATCAAACTTTAACCCTTCTTTTACCCATACTTGAATGACCCCATTTTTGGAGAAATGTCGATATGTAACGTCCAATGGAGGAAATGCCGATGAATTCCTGTGTTAGAGAAAGAGAAATCGAGGCATAAACCAACAATCTCTCTCTTCAAAAACAGATACAGAGAGAGAGAGAAACAACAACAGCAACAAAAAAAAATAAAATAAACGTTTGCTATTCTTTCTCTAAATTTCTTACCATTAATCATCTCATTTGCCGTTAGAATCGCGGATCCCTCTTTCCATTTCGTTTATTTTGCCATTTGATTTGTCGCTGTCTAGAATCGCGGATCCCTCTCTCCATTTCGTTTATTTTGCCAATTGATTTGTCGCTGTCAATACCTTTCCCTTTTCCCTTCCGTTGATCCTTCAAAGGGAAAGGTAAGGAGCTTCATATTTGAATCTGCAAAAGAAACATTGTAGAAATTGATATCTAATAAGAATTTAGGACCTGGGTTTGGGTCCAAATCGTCTGAAAGTGGCCGCCATTATGGTCCTCCGGCAAGAACTTTTGGTGGGTTTCTTCTTGTTATCATTTTGCTTACCTGGGTCCTGCAATTTGGTGTTGGATGTGCAGCATAAGTTTAAGGGTCGAGAGAAGACACCGAATGAATTGAGGTCTCATGATGTTCGTCGCCATGGTAGGCTTCTCTCTATCGTTGATCTCGAACTGGGAGGCAACGGACACCCTGCTGAAACAGGGTTAGCCATTTCTCTCATCATATTCATCTTATTATGAACATATATTTCCTGTATTTTGATATCAGATGAGATGGTTTTGGTGATAAATTTTGTTTGTGGGATGTGATCCTTTGGTCTCTTCAAATGTTTCTAGAGTTCAAATGTTTAGCTGGTTTCATGAAGACTTACATTGTTTTGTAATGAGGGAGATGGGGGCTAGTTCATGAGTTAGTATGAACATATTATATTTTTGATATAATATAATCGCTACCCCAAACTAATGACTAGCTACCCTAGGATGATATAACCGTCATGAAAACTTGTTCGTATCGATATGAGTTTAGCTCAGCTGTTAAGATACCCTTTCCTTATCCAATCACTCAACTATTAAGATATCTACTTTATTGTACTAGAGACGAAGAGAAAAGAATTTTGTTCTCGAGACCATTGAGAACCGTTTTTCAAAGATTAGAAATTAAACCGATAGATTTTCAAATCTAGGGACGAGATAGAAATCCAAACAAAAGGTGTTGTAGTTTATGTTTACCCCACCCCTTATCTTTATTGTTAACTGCTCTATGCACTTGCGATGTTAAATTGTTTCTTTTGTTAAATCATAAAGGTTATTCTTCGCCAGAATTGGCCTTGGAACTCCTCCGAACGATTACTATGTGCAAGTGGATACAGGGAGTGACGTTCTATGGGTGAACTGTATGGGCTGCAGCAATTGTCCTGAGAAAAGTGATATTGGTGTATGTTCTTCAACACTGGAATTTGTGTAAATTGGTTGATTGAAAAATAACCTTTGATTGTTCACTTACAGGTGGAGTTGAGACTTTTTGATCCAAAGGGCTCTAGCACTGCAAAATTTATTACTTGTGATCAATCATCTTGCTCGGCCATGTACGGCGGTGGTACGATCCGGGATTGCAAACCAGATATGCTCTGCAAATATACAATTATCTATGGAGATGGAAGTGCAACATCTGGAGATTTTGTGAAGGATTATATTCATCTCCAACAAGCTGTTGGAAACCATCAAACTACTGTAACTAATGGCAGTATAGAATTTGGGTAATTCCTTGTCGTTTCCTTGGTTTTGATCATCTAGTTTGCTTAAAAGGTGTACTTTAATTTTTGTGGTTTTTTTGCATTTGGATAAACTTACGAACAACCTGACTTGTCTCAATTGATTAAGACGTAAACCCTTAACCTCGACCAAGAGTGCGGTGGTTTGAGTCCCATACTTTAGGTCTTGAAATCTTTCCAACTCGAGAAATATAATGTGTCTAGCTTCATGTGGACTTAGCTATGGTTTTTGTTTTTTGATGGGCAGTTCCGAAATATGGCTTCTTATCTAATCCAATGGTTAATATACTCTTAATCTCCATAAACTTGGAAAAGAGCTTAAGATCATAAGTTCAATTAGCTATGCTGCTGCTTCTACTTCTTTATCTCAAGTTGACTTATGTGGTTTAGGTGTGCAGCTAAGCAATCTGGGGAGCTTGGTACGTCGTCTGAGGCGCTCGATGGGATAATTGGTTTTGGACAGGCAAATTCATCTATCATTTCTCAGTTGGCTGCCTCTGGGAAGGTGAAGAAGATTTTTGCACACTGCTTGGATAGTGTATCAGGGGGTGGGATCTTTGCCATTGGAGATGTAGTGGAACCAACAGTGAAAACCACACCAGTGATACCTCATCAGTATGTGTATTCTAGCTCCAAATCTTATTTGTTGTAAGCTGCTTACCTCATTATCTATCATATTTTGCACCTCCTTTGACGAGTCTAGTTAAGATTCCAAAACTGATAGGAGTTTGGTAAGTTGCTTTAAGAGGACAGTATGTTCGTACGAGTCCCTTCATTTCTCCATATGCAAGGTTCTTCATCTTTCTTTATAACATTCTTAACCGAGACTCAGGTTCAGCTCCGTCTTAGAACCTTGTCGGGTTAAGAGTAAAGCATCCCAAAGTTGAGGCATCTCGTTGGGCGTGGAGAAACATTGGGAACCAAAATAGCTTTCTTCAAAGCCGTTTCTTGTCCATCCCCCGCGCCCCTGTTCACTAGTCCTCCTGACCTGAGCTCCCACTACAAGCTACCTCTGGCCACTCCCCATTTCCCATATGTCTGCTGCATCATGCCAAATCAACTAACACTTATCCAATAACTATATTATGTCATCGTTCGGTTGTGTTTACTATTCAAAGTCGAAAAATCCTCGTCTTCCTAATTTGGCTTAGCTAACAATGTTTTTTTCTCCTCTCTTAAGTTCGCTTCTTGTGGGACAAGAATTTAGCTTTCTTCTAAACATCTACAAATGTCAGGGTTCATTACAATGTTGTTCTGAATGGAGTTAAGGTAGGAGAGACCACTCTTGATCTTCCTGTTGGACTATTTGAAACTGAATATAGAAGAGAAGCAATCATTGACAGTGGCACAACACTGGCTTATCTTCCTGGGCACATTTACCACCCATTGATGCAGAAGGTATTAGTTTCAAATTTTAGACCCTTTTTATGTAAGCTTTTATGCACTCAAGTCCAAATTTATTTTTTCTAAACATGTATTTTGCAGATCTTGGGAGCCCAACCTGGCCTGAAACTACATACAGTTGACCACCAGTTTACTTGTTTCAAGTATGATGAGAAGTAAGATGCTTTCCCTTATCCTTGTTTAGTATTTCTACAGCTAATTGTATCATTTGATCCTTGAAGTATACAGTACTCTTTGTGTTGCAACAGTTCGATTTGGTTGATGTTAAATATTTTTCAATCAAATGCCTATTCTTTATGTTTTTTTTGGTTTAAGAACCCACCTGATTTTGCCCAAATCAAGAACTTTTATCAGTCTAATAACTATGAGGAAAAAGGATTGTGATTTTTATACCATCCTTTTCATTTGGAGGATTGAGGTTTGAGAAGAACATGACATTTGAAAAGAGAGGTTTGATTGAAAAAAGTTCCGAATGTGGTACGGAAAAAGTATTTGGTTGAAAATGTTGTAGGCAGCAGAGAAAGATTATTGAATGAGATCGCTACAATGTGACTACTTTCTAATAACAGTTTTTTTTTTCTCGTACATCTAGCAAAAACTACTTGCTCTTCGAATAAA